AAATCACCCCCCAGAGGGGATGGTCACACCGCAATCCCTTCTCCTCCATTCTCCTCTCGGGATCTTGGGCATGCATACACACGAGCCTGGTGTGAGTTTTAAGCCGCCGGTCCGGAACTCGAACCGCGGTCGGCTACATGGGAGTCCAGCGACATAGTCACTACGCTAAGTGCTGGTCCCTTTATTTCTTTTCTCTTTTACAGAGAATATCACTCTATTTTATTTTTTTCTTTCGGTGTTGCTACAGGGTGTGTGCCTCACCAGGAGAGAGACAGGGAGAAAGAATGAGAGATCACCCGTCAGGAGGATGGCCACTCACAGTCCGGTCTCATCCACTCTCCTCTTGGGATTTTGAGCATGCACGCACGCGCACCTGGTGTGATTTTCCAGAGGCAGGGTCTGAGACTCAAACCGCGCTGTTGGCCACGTGGGCTCTAGCGCCTCAACCTCCAGGCCACCTGCTGGCCCCATTCAGGTTTCTTGGTACCAACCACTGACTGTGGTTCTTTGGCAGCTGCAACCAGACATGTCCCCTGAGGTTCCCCTTCCCAGAGCACCTCATCCCCTCCAAGTCACGCATGTACCCCCCCAACCATGTGACGACACTCACAGCGTGCGGGCAGCAACGACCTGTGCTAGCCACTCACGCTCCTCCTGAGGAAGGGGGACCTGGCGCTGTAGGACGAGAAGGCCCAGCAGAGCTGGCTGCTGAGACCAGGGGGGCCTGAGGAGCCACGCTGGCCAGACACAGCGAAGCAGAGGCAGGAAGGGGGATGAGGCCGGCGCCCGGAGAGGAGCGGCGATGGGGCCAGCCATGGCACATGGCAGTGATGCACAATGCTCCGTGACCCTGAGGCCGCGCGGGAGCGTCCCAGATCTGCCCTGGGCCTCTCGCCTGTGACCCTGGCTGGCATAACTGGTGGGTGGACCGCACAGGAAAGACCCTGTTGGGGCCCTCTCTGTCTGTCTTTATTGGTCTCTTCTTCTTGTAGAAGAAACAAACTTAAAAAAAAAAAAAAGCAGAAAAAATTCTCATCTTTAAAGAGAGAGAGAGGGACCAGCAGTGAGCGTAATGGCTATGTTACTGGACTCCCACGTAGTCGACCGCGGTTCGCATCCCGGACCTGGTGGC